GGGGGATTGAACCGCGGTCCCTGTGCTTTGCCAAGCTTGTTCCAAGTAGGTGCTTTAGACCACTGAGCCATCTCTCCAGCCCCTCTCACTCTTCTTTCAAGCTAGATTTGGCTTTTCCGCCTTGGTTCCTTTTTTTTTCTTTTGCGGTGCTGGGGATTGAACTCAGGCCCTTGCGCTTGTCAGGCAAGCATTTATTCTACACAAGGCATAGCGGAACACACCATGAGCAGGGCCCAGAATCCGCGCACCTACGGAGCAGGGATGAGGCATGCTTTCCTCCCGAGCACCACAGAAAGCAGATGTTTCTCCCTGGGGCCCTCAGCTCTGGGGTCACAAGGGACAGGCCAGATTATCGAAACGGGGAGAGTCCCACTTCTGCTTTTTCTCCCACATACAAATCCGGCCATGATGCTTTCGATGTTTTCTTTCCCGTGCCAATGAAGACACTGGGGCAAAGAAGGCAAAATAATAAAATTGTTTCTTTTAAAACAAGACTTATAGTGGGCTTGATGGCTTGTGCCTGTCATCAGCCCCAGCACTTCAGAGGCTGAGGCAGGAGGATTGCCTCAGTAGCACATCAAGATCCTGTTTTTTTACTGAGGACAGGGGAGTGGCTCTGTAGTGAGCCCTTGACTGGGCTCCATCCCTAGAATTTTTTTTAAAAAGTGGGTTTTTGATTTTTTTTTTAAAAACAAAAAACAAGTTCATGGGCCAGCATTCCTTCTCAAACAGGGTGGGTGGATTTTGTTGCCTGTTCCTTTGGGGAGGGGTAGCCTGCCTCTCCCACACCACTCACTGAGGGTTTAATTCTACAGTTGCTCAGCAACAAAAGGCATGCACCTTCCACGGGGAGGATGCGGATGCTATTAATGTGGTTAATGTAAGGAGGAAAGGTGACATCACAAGGCCCGAGCCTTATCAGAGCAGGAACCACCCTGAGCCGACAGTGAACATAAACTAGGTGCAGTGGTGCACAGCTGTAATCCCAGGACTGTGGGAGGCTGAGGCAGGAGGGTTGCCTATTCCAGGCCAGCCTGGACTAATAAATAAAATAGTGAACATGATTCCTGAAAAGTTTTAATCTCAAAGCCTGCTGTATTTTTTCCCCTTGCTACCAGTAGTCCCCAGAAGAAATGTGTGAGATGACAGAATTCCCCGAGGCTGGGGCTGGTGAGATGGCTCAGTGGTCTAAAGCACCTACTTAGAACAAGCTTAGCAAAGCACAGGGACTGCGGTTCAATCCCCCAGCACCACATGCCAGCCAGCCCCGCCCCCTGGTGGGCTGAGCTAGCCACACACACACACATAAATAAATAAAATTTAAAAAAAAAAAAAAAAAAAAAAAGAATTCCCCGAGGCATAGCACCTGGGCTCAGAGCTGCTGCCACCTGGGGCCCAGCTGAAGGGCCCCTGCCTGCGGGCCAGCCGCACCCAGGTCTGCCCCAGGAGCTGAGTAGATTGCTATCTCCAGGAAGACTGGGCTTTCCCCTCTAACAGTGCATTCCTAAAGGAGCAAGCGCCCTCCCTTCCTGGCTCCCCTGAAGAAAGATAGGGATCCCAGCAGAGTACCAGGGCTGTAACACCCCCCCACCCCGCAGTGCGGGCACGCACAGGTCTATATTGCTTTATTCCCAGCCCTCAGGAGGCTGAGGCAGAAGGATCTCCCAGACCAGCCTGGACTGCATATCAAGACCCTGTCTCAAAAGTCCAAAAAAACCCCCCAAACGCCCAGTATCACGGAGCTCCCAGAAGAGCCCCAGGGCCCCAGCCATCCCAGGAGAGGGAGCAGAGGAGGGCGAGGCTCGCCTGGGGCCCCATGTACAGTATTAGCCTTTCACCAGAGCTGGTCGGGTGCCTGGACTGCCCCTGCGCTCTGTGGCGAGTTCGTACACCACAGTCGTCCTGGCCAGGCCTGTCCCCTTCCTCATGGAGCCCCACAGACACGGGCTCTAACCAGTGTCCTCTTCTGCTCCCACAGATCCCAGTCCTGCGAGGCAAGCCAGCGGTTTCTGATTGGGGGGTGGGGGAGATAGCTCAGTAGAGTAAGTGCTTGCTTGGCAAGCACAAGGGCCTGTGTTCAATCCCCGGTTCCGCCAAAAAAAAAAAAAAAAGGAAAGAGACATGTACTTGTGCCTGGGACCCGCAGCGTCCTCAAAGCTGATTCAAACACTGACCCAGCGTCGTGCACCTACTGGCTGCCTGTCCAAATCTCAATTCTCTTTTTTTGATACATGTGTGTAGCCCAGGCTGGCCTCAGACCCCGAGATCTGAATTTGAGCCCACTCCCCCTTCTCTGGGTGCGCAGCTCTGCCGAACCACCTGGGACCACCAACATGGGGGTCCCCGAGTGCCTGTCCCATCGAGGGCCGCAGCGCGGCCACCACAGCTGTCTGGGAGGTCGAGGGTAGCCTGAGTTGTGCGCTTGGCCCCCGCAGTGCGGACTGAGCGGGCGTGGAGGTCTGCCTCCACGTGCTCCGAGCACACTCTGTGCTTCCTTGAAAGCAGCGCCCTCTCCGTCCGACCCTGGCCGGGGACTACGCGAGGCCAGCCGGCTCCGGCCTGTTTAAGCAGCGAGGGTCGATTTCCTCGCAAATCCCACCCCGCTCTTCCATGGGTCCCGCCCCGCGCATCCGCCTCCATCTCCCATTGGACAAGGGGAGTGGCTCGAGGCTCGCCTGTTCTTGACGATGTCCAGTGGGAGCTTGGGGGCGGTGTCCCCATGTGCCGGAGGGGAGGAGGACTGCACCTCCGGGTCCGCCCTGGTTGCGGACACACAAGTGGGGAACCCCACTGAAGCCTCAAGGTTAGGTCGCCAGCGGCTGTGGCCCTAGCCTGACTGATGGGGTACGCTCTCCCTTCAGCACTGAAGCTCCCTGCCCCCTCCGGGTCACCTGCGAGTGGCCAGCACCGGGTGCAGACTTGGGGGAGCCACGCCCCGCTTCCCGGAGCTCGGCACCCCGGACGCCCCTCCAGCCCCTGCAGAAAGCCCTAGTGTTGTGTCCCCAAGTATTCCAAGGAAGCACTGGCTCCTTCCCACCCCTGCCCTCCAAGGCAAATCGTCCGTACCCCAAGATCGGGGTCTCCCTGGCCCGGCGCCAGCCTTACCTGCAGCCCCCGCCGCCAGGCACAGCAGCAGTGGTAGCAGCGGCGCGGTGCAGCGCGGCGCCCAGCTAGCTGTCCCTGTCCTCATCGTGCAGACTGCGCGCCGCCCGCCGGGGTCGCCTTTGAAAGCGTGCGCGGGGAGGAGCCTGCGGTGGGGTGATTTTCAAAAGTCTTCGCTGGCTGCCGGGGGCGGGGCCTAGGCCTGGGGAGGGAGGCTTTAGCCCCTTGGCCCGGGCTTCCCCCGGGAAGCCGCAGCCTCCAGCCCCACCCCGGCTCCGCCCCTTCCACTGCTGTTTCTGCTGCAGTGTGAAGCCCCGCGGGGGTCCCGGGGATCCTCCTCGCGGAAATCCAAACCTCGGAAGCCCCCGGCCTGGCGCCCACGCCTCGCCCTGTGTAAGAACGGGGCACAGCTGGCCCTGTTGCTTCGTGTGTGATGGTGGTGCTGATGACTTCGTGGACAGCCATCAGCAGCGCGTAAACCAGAAAGTGGCAGGAAAGATCGGTCCAGCCTCCAGTTGCGGGCTCCGTGTTCTGCGGTTCTGAATAGAAACGGCCCGCAAAGCTGCTCCCCTGCGGCAGAAACACCGATTGGCCCTGGGAGGACTTGGCAGGGACCGGGCGGCGCGCCTTCCCCAGCTTGAATCAGAGCCCGCGGCTTGGGGGCTCGACCTCGGGGCGAGGCTGAGGGGGACCAGGGCCCCGGAGTTCAGTGGGGCCGCGCTCGTTTAGGTCACAGCACCACGGAGAATAAATGCAAAATCCGATATGGCTCTTGTGGAGTACTTGGGGGGACCCCGGGAAAGGGTCGGAGCCCCCGGGTTTGCAGACTCAGTTCAGCTGGACGCTGTAGGCACAGTCGTAGGAAAGCCAGGAGAGGAGGGAGGCTGGAGCACTGCAGGTGCCCAGAGGAAACCTGGACGCAGCTGGGGGCCAGCCAGGCTGTGAGCAGCCTCTGCCGCCCTGCGGAAGTTTAGGGTCGCAAATTCTTGCAGGTTTATGAAGTTTCTATTCAATTCTAGTCCTTAACCCATGTGATTTTTAATAGGAACCAGGGGTTTGGCTTCCTCCTTCAGAGAAATTGCAACATAAAACAAGTTGGGTTTGTGTGCTGAGTTCTTCTCTCCCCCCACCCAGGTCCCCTCTCTTGTTTCTTTCCTTTTGCTTTTGGGACTGTAAATTGAAGCCAGGACTTGACACACAGGAGGCAAGTGCTCCGCCACTTAGCTACACCCCAAGTCCTCTCTTTTCTTAAAACTTTGGGACAAGCAAGTGGCCCAGGCATGCCTTGAACTTGGGATCCTCCTGCCTTGACCTTTCTCAGAGCTCTTGTAGTCCACCTGGTACTAACCCTTCCTCTCTAGCAGCCCAGCTAGGAGGAGGAGGGGCTGCTTCGTGGGGACGGTGTGTGCCCAGGAAAGCTTCGTTGTACACAAACACTGTCCTCAGAGCTGGAGGCCAAGGTGGCCCTGACAGTGCCACACAGTTGTGCAGGCTCCCGCCTGGTCACAGGAATCTCCAAAGCCCTCTTGTCCCTGCCCCTTGAGGACAGCTGTAGCTTTCAAGTGCTGTTCCTAGGTCTCAAGGGCCTACGTGCCCTCCGTAACCAAGTCACAAGGTTAGAGGGGCTTGGGCCATACAGGTGTGCTGTGGTGCCTTTGGTGGCAGCCGTGTTTCCCTTTAGCCTCTGTGGATGGAAGACCTGTTTGTGCCTGCGTTGGGGTGGGGGGAGCTTTAGGCCCTAGGCTCTGGTCCGTCTGTCCTCCTTCCGGTGCTGGGACGGATGAAATCCCCTGTGTGTGGGGCAAGCGCTCACCCTGAACAGCGCCTCCAAGCCTGGAATCAGAAGTTTTTAAAGTTTCTGAGCCAAGATTGGCGTGGTGAGGCGCAGCCTTAAGGGAGGCTGAAGCAGGAAGATTGCACTTTTGGGCGCAGCTTGGGCTAAATGGCCTTGTGAGACTGTGTCTCAAAATGAGAAATTAAAAGGCTGGGATGGGGACAGGGAGATGGCTTAGTAGAATAAGCACTTGCCTGGCAAGCACAAGGGCTTGAGTTCAATCCCTGGGTCAACCAAAAAAAAAAAAAAGAAAGAAATGTTGGATTGAGTTGTAATTGAAGTCACTGGAGTGAACACAGGAAGTGACAGGAAGCCTGGGGACAAGGCAAGTGGGTATCTCAGGTCGGGCTGCAGCTTGACCTTTCAGAGGTCTCTGACCTCAGCCTGCAAGTCATGGCATGGGGACACGACACCATAGTCCAGACAGCAAAGAGGGTGGTGGTGTGGCTTGGAGGAGGGCAGGTCTCTGCACCGATGGGGTCCTCCTTGTGACCTTTACTTTCTGGGTCTCATGTTTCTCCCTCAGCCAGGAAACCTCCCAGGAGCAGGAGTGGTGGAGCACACTTGCAGTCCCAGCACTTGGAGGCTGAGGCGGGAGGATCTTTGCAAGTTTGTGACCAGCCTGGGCTACAAAGTGAACTCAAGGCCAGCCTGACCTGCATAGCGAAACTCTGTCAAGGGACACAACAGTGACCAGGATGAAGTTCTAGGGTATCTGGGAGGACAGGTGTTTACACGCTGGGGCTGGGAATTTTTTTTTTTTTGATGCTGTAAATCCCCCGGAACTGGGGATTGAACTCAGACCCTTGCGCTTGCCAGGGAAGCAATTATTCTTTATAATTTTATTTTTTTTTTTTTTTTTTTTTTTTGGTGGAACCGGGGTTTTGAACTCAGGCCCAGGTGCTTGCCAGGCAAGCGGCAAGCGCTTATTCTACTGAGCCATTTCCCTGGCCCCAAGGGAAGCACTTATTCTACCCGGCCCCCATGAAGGGATTTTGGATGACCAGGCTCATGGTGTGTAAAGGTGATAGGGGTTGAAGGAGCCATTATCCCTTTATTATTTTTGACACTCTTCAATGTTCTATTCTGTTTTATTGAGACGGGGTCTCACCGCGGGGCCCAGGCTGACCTCAGGTCACAGTGGTCCCCAGCTTGCCCTTGAACTCCCTGAACCCTGTTATCATAGTAGCTGGCCTCAAACTTGTGTCCTTCCTGCCTCAGCCTCCTAAGTGCCAGGATTACAGGCGTGGGCTGCCACAGGGTGTGTGTGTGTGTGTGTGTGTGTGTGTGCTGCTTCAATAAAGTCAAAACAAAACAAACTACACAGTGCCCGGCCAGAGGCGCTTCCTCTTTAGATTTGGTTCCTATATTGTGGGAGGAAAGGTTTCTTTTCTCACATGTTTGCTAGGTTCATGACTGAGATTCGTATTACAAGAAAAGACACATTGACAAGAGAAAACTATTGAGTTTTTTAAGGCAGGGCCTGCGACCTGGCACGGCTGACCTTGCATGCCTAGGCTCCCCGGCCCTCCGGCCTCAGCCTCCCCAGGGTCTGGACTCCGCTCAGGCCTCCTTCCTGGCATGCGCTAGGGTCTGCGAGCCCAGAGCGTGAGCCCCCGGGCATGGCCAGCGGTAGACCTGGTGACTCAGAATTAGCGGGAAGGAGCAAGGAGCCTGTTTGTCTCTATTTTTCTTGTGTCCTCAGAGATAAGGGCGTTTTTTCCCCGGGGGTGGGGAGGGTGCTTCTGGGAGTCTAGGTCGCCCTACAGCTCTGTGCCCAGTGCCCTACTTGGGGTGGCAGCCTGAATCCGCCCGGCTCCACTCTTGCACAGCCCATGGGGCGTCCCCTGGCTGCTTCCAGGGCACAGTGGTGCACACCTGCCATCCCAGCATCAGGAGGCTGAGGCAGAACATGGCTGCAAGTTTGGCATACAAAGTAACAGTGAAAAAGGCCTCTGAGACTGGGTTGCTGAGAAGGTACGGGCAAAAGGAGGGGGCAGGAAAGAGCAACTGGGGGTTCTGGGGAGGTAATGCGGTTGGAAGGGGCTGTGGAACAGTGAGGCCAGTGGGCCTGGAGTGGAGAGAAAAGGGGAGGCCGCCAAGCAGTGACAGCAGCAGGACTCTGCACGTGGACAGAGGCAGAGCCACGGAAGGTTCTTGAGCGGAGGAGGGCTGTCTCCTGCTGTGGTTGCCCAGAAAGAGAGCCAACGGGAGGAGTCAGGGGCGGTGACTCTGGGGAGGTGAATGTACCAGCCCTGAGCGAGCCTGGGGTCTGTGGCTGTGCTCTTGAGTCAGAACCCAGGACAGGAGGAAGGGCGGGAGACAGTAGCTTTGGTCAAGCTCTGCAGAGTTCTCCAAGCCATCTGGTGACCTTGGCTGGGACCCTGATGCACAGCCGCCTGCGTCAGCTGTGACGCCCACCTGGTGTCAAGGGCTCTGGCTGCTGGCCTTGTCTTTTCCAAGAAGAAGCCCATCAGAACCTGGTGGCCTCAGGTCTGGGAGGAGCAATCACCCCGCTGGGCCACAGCTTTGTCCTTTGCAGTCTTCATAAGATAAAAATATGGACCCACTCCTGTGTTTTAATCCTGGTCAAATACACATGACTCAAGGGGCTGGGGAGATGGCTCAGTAGGATAAGCGCTTGACTGGCAAACGCAAGGATCTGAGTTCAATCCCCAGTTCCGCCAAAAGGGGCACGCGGCAGCACGGGGCCAGACAGCTGTCCCTGCGGGAACCCTGCCTTGCTCCTGTCCTCTCTGGTCCTGGCCCTGCCGCCCTGCCCAGCCAGCCCTGTGCTCTGACAGCACCTGGGGCCTCCCAGGAGTGGGGTCATGGAGCGCAGAGCTAGCTCCTGTCACAGCAAGGCTCACAGTGGCCTTATCAGAGCTGAGCAACATCCCGCCATGCTGTGCCTGTCCACCCAGCCGTGATAAAGCTGCCGTGACCACAGGTGTCCAGCATCCCTTGAGATGTGGCGCTCAGTGCTTCTGAGGATGTTACCCTCACACAGGACTGCTGGATTAGGTGGTAATTCTTTTTTTTTTTTTGGCGGAACCAGGGATTGAATTCAAGCCCTTGCGCTTACCAGGGAAGCGCTTACTCCACTGAGCTATCTCCCCAGCCCCATGGTGGTAATTCTGATGTTTGGTTATTTTTTGGTGGTCATAGGGGTGGACCCCAGGGATTCCCCGCGTGCTGAGGTACACTGACCACATCTGATGCTTTTGAAGAACCGCCACACTGCTTCCCATAGAAAGTGCCATCATTGTCCCATT